TGGTGGTGCTGTGGTTAAGAGCTCAGTTGCTAACCAAAAGGTCAGCAGTTCGAATCCACCAGCCACTCCTAAAACCTATGGGGAAATTCTACTCTGTCCTATAGGGTCGCTGAGTCGGAATCGACTCGATGGCAATGGGTTTTTTTTTTTTTTGACAATAATTTTGGATACTAAGATAGCATATTACTTAGTAGAGGATGCAGACACAGAAGTTATAATTACAGAACAGTCTGTTGATTGCTGTAAAAGAAGAATGATAAAGTACTGTCGGAGTACAAATGAGGGAGTATATTATTCCAGCAGTAACGAGGTTCTTCATGCATTCTAGAAAGAAGGAATATAAACACAGAGGAGGGTGAAAAGACATGTTGAGTTAGGAAATAATTGTGTAGTGTTCCTTTGGGGAATGAAAATAAGTAAGGCTGCAAAGATAAACAATGGCCAGTTCAAGAAGGACCATTCTAAGAATATTAGAATTTATGCTGTGTGAAATGGGGAAGATGTTCCTAGATTTAAGTAGAGAAGTAACATGATCGGATTTGCTTTTAAGGAAAATCACCAAAGCCTTTCTCCAGTGCAAAGATAAAAGAGAAGTACACATGGGTTGGAATATTAAAGGTAAGCCTCATTGAACAAGGAGGACTGGAACTGTGTTTGGAAGGTGGGTAGGATTGGAAAGGAAGGGACAGGGAGAGGGCATTTCTGGTGAAAGGAGACTCTGTGGTGGAAATGAGCAAGGTGGCTTATGGAATGAGAAGACCCTGAGTAGAACAGATGTGAATGGAAGTTTAATGGGTAAGAGAGTAATTGTTGAGGTGGTACAGACTCTAAAAAATTTTGATGTTAACTCCATTTATACGAAGTTCTAGCCATCTATAAACATAGTAATTGGTCTATACAATTCAAAGTTGTTAATGTAACTATAAACTATACATTCATCCTTCTAGGTAACTATCATTTTATGTACATTTGATCACATGGGGTGAATAATTGCATACAGTATGGCAAATTGTTCATCTGGCAGATGGGTAAAGTGGAAGGAGTCAAATTGAACTACATTAGGCTCAGTAACATATTAACTGTGTGACCTCTGACAGACAAGTTGCTTATTTTCTGAGCCATAAATGGCAATGGAATTAGAAAAAAAATACATGTGTAGAGTGGCTAGCATAGTGCATAGAACACAGTAAACAGTAAATGGTAGTGCCTTTTGGTCCTATTCATGACAGTTATAATAGGTATTGTTTATTAAAACTCTACTATCTATCAAGTTATAGGTGAGGTGGTGTAGAAAATGCAAGGAATAAATGAAATTAAAAAAATGAGTCAGAGAAGTTCAAGATTTCCTTGGTTATTCTCAAGCAGTGAAGCTATCTGAGGAGAGAAGGATTTAGGAAACACATTTTCTGGCTGTAGTGTGTAGGATGGATGGGGTGGGAGAATCTATAGACTGAGAGGTTCAGCTTTGGTAATTCAGGCATCAGCTGATAGCATATGAGACGGTGGTGGCAGCAGGAACAGAGAGAAAAAGGCACACAGGAGAGATGGTTTAAAGGTAAAATCAATGCAATGTGGTGACTGACTGGATATGGAAGATGAAAGGGCGGAGCAAATAAAATACGACATATAATTTACTAGCCTGGGTGACTGGGAGAGTAATGGTGTCATCAAAGAATCTTCCAGGTCACTCTTCCCTGTAGGTCCCGTGCTACAGCATAGCTTAATCCCAACAACTGCAGCCCTATGCATATCCAAATCATTTCCTTTGGTTAGTGGGTGAGGATGTGGCAAAAGGTGATTCTTTGGGAATTTTATCGTCTTATCTTCCCACCTCACAACTACTTGATCTTCCAAGTGCTGACATGGTGCCAGATATTCCTAATGATTCTGGGTGTCTGGTGCCTACATAACGAATTTAGCAATATTGGTTTTTTGGCTATGAGTTTCAATATAATTTCTTTGCTGCCCCTACCTTTCCTGAATCCTCTAACTCTTGGGTAGGCAGTCTCTTCCTGCTTCCATGAATGACTGATACCAATTTCTTCTGTGGGAGATCTTTCCTCCCCTTCTTGCTCCACTCCATAGCAGATATACTTTCCAGGGATTTAAATTGCTCTGACCCCTATTTGAGTAGACAAATAATCCTATTGCAACTTTGATGGATATTTAGATTGTTTACAGTTTCGTTTTTTCACCTGTGAGCCTTGTTATGAGACACAGCATTTGCAGATTTGAGAAAGCCTAATGTATCTGTCTCTGTAGAACGCTGAGCAAATTTAGAAATAAGACAAAGGAATAGGTATTTGGGGGTGGGGACATTACCTTCGTTAATGATAAAGATGGTAGTGGAAATTGTGTCTTATGCCTGCTGCAAGTGGCCTTCCAAGACTGAACCCCAGAATTAGGGAAACGTACACACCCAGTTGTGGCAGCATTGGACCTGGACAAGCCTCACCTGGCAGAGACAGAGGCTGCCCCTGGGGCAGAGTGAAAAGCATGATCCCTGCAGCATCTCACTCCAACAGAGGGATGAGAGAGGAAGGCCCACCTCTGTATGCCTAACCTCTCCTTTCAAATTCACTCCACCTTCCCTGTGGCAGGCTGGGGCAGTGAGACTAGGAGTGGTAATTACTGGAGCTCCCTCCACATGAAAGGAAACATGAAGAGTAGGGAAGAAATGTTCTCCCTGTAACATCTAACTAGTGGTAAGTGTTTAAAAATGGGCTCTGCTAAAGAAAAAGCCCTGATTTGTAGAGTTTGCACCACAATTACCATGGTGGAAGTACTCCCACTACTGCTGATTCTAAGCTACCAGCATAATGTCAATGAATGCAGAGTTGGGAAAAGATGCATACAACAAGCTATTCTAAGCCTCTCTGAGCTGGCTCCAACACATCACTGTAACCAACACTTGTACACTTAACCAGTATCTCCTTGGAAAATATTATTAGAGGTAGGAAGGGTGCACACATTTGATAAATACTGCCAGTTTGTTCTCCAGAGAGGTTGTACTGATCTACATTTCTACAACAGAATACGGGACTGCTTGTTTACTTACCTTTGCCAACTCTTTTACTTGCTGTCAATCTTATAGTGAAAAGTATATTTATCATGTTTCAGAGCATTTATTTGATTATTGGAGTCCCTGTGTAGTGTAACTGGTTAAAGCGATAGGCTGGTGACCGAAAGGGTAGGGGTACTAATCCAGCAAGAGGTGCCTCAGAGGAAAAGCCTGGAGATCTACTTCTGAAAAATTCACTATTGAAAACCGTGTGGAGCTCAGTTATACTCTGATATACATGGGGTGACTGTGACTTGGAATTGAATGGATGGCAACTAACAAAAACAACAAGGTTCTTTCATATGCTTATTGATATTTTTATTTATTTTTTGTGAACTGCCTGTTTATAGCCTCTGCTCATTTTCTATGTATATTTTGTGTGGATACAGATCTTTTTTATATCGAGGTTATTAAACCTTTGTCATATATGTTTTTAAGTACTTTTCCCATTGTGTCATTTGTATAACAACTTTGTTGATGCTTTGTTTCCGTTGGTTAACAATTGTGACTTTTGTTTTCTATTTTGATTCTGTTCTTTGCTGTTCAGAGTGCATTTTTAGTTCTTCAAAATTACTACATTTCTCGGAATTTCAGTATAGTATCAGAGATAAGATGAAAAACAATGGGGATAAAAATGATAGCAGAGAATCAAGGTCTTTCATACTTTTTCTTCTGTATTTCTCATGGATCATACGAGGTGAGAAAAATTCCTAATGTGGACCCTTACTCTTTATTCTACAAGATATTGTTTTGAATTACATGATATTGTTAGCTTGAGGTGCATATTGCAGTCTATATATATTTTTTGTACACAGTGAGGTTGTTTAGATATATAACAGATTCTCAGCAAGTATTTCTTTCAGTGAAGTAACACAGAGGAATCCCCGTTCTTGTTATTGTATGCTTTGCTGCGTTGTTACAAACCTGGAACCAGAACAAGCAGGCCGGCCAACCATAACAATCGTCTCTGAAAATGAGCTTGTTTAGCTCAGTGTCTCTCGGTAGAGTAGTGGCAGCATTGAAAGCAATAGTGGGATGATGGAGACAAACGAATAAGTTGAATTATTCCCACAGTGTTTCAGTATTTGTCACATAAACACAGTTATGGAAACTGCAAGACTGGTGAAGGACTCTGACCTGGGTAAATTGAGGACTGGGATAATTGAGAAAAGAAGAAAGTACAGAGAACTTCTTGGAAATGGAGAATTATCAGTGGGAAGATGATTCCGTGAGGCATAAATGAAGGAAACAAAGGATTCAGGAACAGAAGTATGTCATGGAGATTCCCCAGTTGGAGAGAGCTATCAAAATGCAATGAGATAATAAAAATCTAGGCTATTAACTTGAATAGTTCCCTAAATTCAGAATTTACTGTGGTGAATTAGGAAGAACCCTGGACTGATAGTCAGAAAGCCTTGTTGTCAGTCTCAGAATTCACCACTCTGTGTAATCTTGGGTAATAACGATTTCCCTTAATTTTCTAAGAGGTACAGTGTTTTTAGGTTATTAATATTCAGTGATGAATGAGTATATTGGCTAGATGAATGACTGAGTGATGTGTATTTTAAATTATTTTACACTCTCTAATAACTGGGAAAAAAATGAAAGAATATTCTTTTCTAAGACAACAATGGAGTCTTTTGGTGGTGCAAATGGTTAACACACTCAGTTGTTAACAGAAAGATTGGTAGTTCGAGTCCACCCAGAGGCGCCTCGAAAGAAAGGCCTGTGATCTATTTCTGAACAAGTAGCCACTGAAAACCCTATGGAGTCTAGTTCTTCTCTGACAAACATGAGGTTGCCTTGAGTTGGAATTGACTCAACAGCAACTGTTTCTTTTTTTTTGTTATCGTAAAATGTTACAAGTGAAGTAATTGGTATTACAATTTTTATTTATTTTATTGTAGACCTCTCACTCCCGGGCATCTAGCACACCTGAATGGGATCCATGGCCAGTACAAATAACGTCACTGAGTTAATTATTACTGGCCTTTTCCAGGATCCAGAGATGCAGAGACTGTGCTTTGTGGTGTTTCTTCCTGTGTACCTGGCCATGGTGGTGGACAATGGCCTCATCTTGTTAACAGTCAATGTAAGCAAAAGTTTGCATTCCCCCACGTACTTCTTCGTTAGCTACTTGTCCCTGGTGGAGATCAGTTACTCCTCTACTTTTGTCCCTAAGTTCATTACTGACTTACTCACCAAGATTAAAACCATCTCCTTCGAGGGCTGTCTGGCTCAGATATTCTTCTTCTACTTCTTTGGTGTGACAGAGATTCTCTTGCTCACAGTGATGGCTTATGACCGCTATGTGGCCATCTGCAAACCCCTGCACTATACAACCATCATGAGCTGGCCTGTGTGTCACCTTCTGGTGGCTGGTTCCTGGCTGGGGGGCATAATTCTCTCCATGGTTCAGATCCTTGTCACTGTTCATTTGCCCTTCTGTGGCTTCAATGTAATTGACTACTACTTTTGTGACTTCCACCCCCTATTCAAGGTTGCCTGCACTGACACCTTTATGGAGGGTGTTATTGTGTTGGCTAACAGTGGCTTAATCTCTGTTGTTTCCTTCCTCATCTTAGTATCCTCTAATGCCGTCATCTTAGTCAACTTGAGGAGCCATTCTGCAGAGGGGAGGCACAAAGCTCTCTCCACTTGTGCCTCCCATATCAAGGTGGTCATCTTGTTCTTTGGACCTGCCATCTTCCTCTACACGAGGCCCTCTTCCACCTTCACTGAGGATAAACTGGTGGCCGCTTTCTGTACAGTCATCACCCCCATGCTGAACCCCATCATCTACACACTCAGAAATACAGAGGTGAAAAATGCTATGAGAAGATTGTGGTACAAGAAAGTGAACTCAAGAGTGGAGTTAAAATGATAACATGAAAAAATAAAACAAAATAAAAACAAAAACAACCCACAAATAGGGTGATCAAATATGTGATCTGATTTTAGTCAGCCACAAAAGAAGAGAGAAAAAGTTAACCTGTTTATATTTTTTGTTGCATTTTAGGTGAGCTACTTTTACTCTGTGGTACCCATTAAAGCCCTCTCATGGCTGTCAGCATTTTGGGGAATGTTGAATATTAGACTACTTTCCTTCTCTTCTTCAGTAGCATATAGTGCAAAGTACATGTGTTTTAGGGAGAGGTCACCTAGATTAGAACCCCCACCCTATTGTCTACTAACTGTGTAATCTTGGATTCATTCATTTCACCTCTTGGTGTTAGCATGCTGTGGTATGTGGAAATATTGTGGCACTTCGAGTCAGAGGGTCATATTTTCCTTTGTCTCTCCTTACTGGTGGGATCTTGAGGGAGTCCCAGAAAGGCTTCTGTATTTCTCTACTTTTGGTGCCCCTACCCCATTAACCTGATTCCAACTCCTGAAATTCCACAGTAGGAACTTCATTTCATGGGTGAGGGGCATTGTTAGATGCAAAAGTCTCCGGGAGGCAAAATACAATGAAACTATTATTAAACATTAATATCTTAATCTCAGTAACTTTATAAAACCCTTCTGTTTCTATGCACTGAGGTAAGGAGACCAATGCAGTCAGAAGTACATTCAGTTATAAGTATAGCACAACCTGATGAAAAATGGCTTAAGCCAAATCCAGCCTGCCACGTATAGCCTGTGAGCTAAGAATGGATTTTACATTTTTAAATGGTTGCAAAAAAAAAAAAAAAAAAATACTATTTTGTGACATGTGAAGGTTATACAAATTCGAAAGTTTAGTGTCCATAAATAAAGTTTATTAGACTACAGCCATGCCCATTATTTTACGTGTTATCTGTGGTTGCTTTTATGCTACAGTGGCCAAGTTGATTAGTTGTCATAGAGACTTTATGGTGGCAAAACCTAAAATATTTGCTATCTGACCCTTTAGAGAAAAAGTTTGTTGACCACTGGCTTAAGTCATAATGATATTTATTGCTTACTCTACAAACAGGAAGGCTGGTGGTCAGTGGTTCCAGAGTTGGTTTGTTAATTCTGTGATGCTACCGCACTGGTTTGATTCCTCTTCAATTCTTTTGTATATCACCTCATGGCTGCAAGATGGCCGCAGCAGCTCTTTAATGAGGGGAGAGAAGGGCTCTCTTTTTATATGGGGAAATACTTCCCAGAAACTCTTCAGCACAATTCCTCTTATTTTTATTGGCCAGAACTAGGTCACATGTCTACCCCTACATGCAAAGAAGGCTGGAAAAGTGAGTATTGGTAAAGAGGAAAGGATGATATTATAGGCTTAGACCAGTGTTGTGGATTGAATTGTGTCCCCTAAAAAGACATGTTGAAGTACTAACATCTGCACCAATGAATGTGACCTTGCTTGGGGAAATAGGGTTTTTCTTTGCAGATGTTATCAGATAAGTTAAGGAGGTCATAGTGGAGTAGGGTGGGTCCTAATGCTAATCCCTTTTGAGTGGCATTTTATTAAAGAGAAGGACAGACACAGAAATGGAGTCACACACAGAGGGAAGACAGCATGTGAGGATCTGTCTACAAGCAAAGGAATGCCAAGGAAAGCCTGGGGCTACTGGAAACTGAAGGAGATAAGGAAGGGTCTTTCCTTGGAGTCGGACAGAGGATATCCCTGATGATGCCCTGTATTCAAACTTCTACCCTTCAGTACTTGAAAAAATAAATTTCTGTTTTTAAAGCCGTCCACTTTGTAGTATTTTACTATGGCAGCCTAGGAAAGTAAGGCAGCCAGGCATAAATTATCCCTTGGGCTGGGCTGCTTCCATAGTGGTTAAGAGTTTTGTTGCTAGCTAAAATGTCAGCAGTTCGAATCCACCAGGTGCTCCTTGGAAACCGTATGGAGCAGTTCTCTTCTGTCCTATAGGGTCGCTATGAGTCGGAATCAACTTGACGGCAATGAGTTTGGTTGTTTTTTTTGGGCTGTGCACACTGCTGCTTGAACAACATCAAGATTCTGTCATTACGGAAGGAGTGTCTGCCACAGGGAGTTTGGATGGAGGTGGTTTTTTGGAGGGTGGTGCCCCTGGGCACAGAGAGATAGTTAAGGGATTTGACTCTGGTGCCAGGCCTACTGACTGAAACTCAGCTCCACCACTCGGTGACTGTGCAACCTCAGCCAGTGACTAAACTCTCTTGATTCAATCTCCTTGGCATAGAATTTTGGGGCCAAGTTCAAGAACCATTTTCTTTAACATCACAGTCTTCCTGAGACTGGACTCTGCTTTAATTTCTTTCTGGAAGATAAAAAAGGGGGCCATAGAATGTGAGTGCCTGGGGGTTGTGAATAGCAATTAAACTATCCTTGGAATCCTTGCAGGCAGGAAATGGGTCTTGTTCATATATACATCCCTGTACCTAGAGTTCTGAACCACTGTACTACAAATAAATTCACCAAATAGCAATTTGCTTTTTTAACTGAATTACCACATGACTAACCTGCTGAACTTTTGATGCACTCAAAACTTGTTTCTATTGACCCTTTATAAATTTTATAGCACTTGGTTTTGCTGAGACCCGCAATGAGCAATGTCTGTGAAGGAATTTTTGTATATCTTGAGTTTCAGTTTTCATGAAAATAACAATATATAGGATTTTATATATGTTTGTTTCTCTTTTTCAATGAGTTACCTACCTAGGCACGTGCCCAGATAAACATTTGGGGGTCCTCTTACTACAGACGGAAGAAGGAGAAACCAGCCTTGGAGAATACCAGTGATCTCTGCACCAGAGTAAAGCACATACACAGCCTGGGCACGAGTTCAGGTAGCCTGACTCCCAGGACAGATGCTCCTCTCCTGGTGGCTCCTCATGCCGGCGAGGGTTTATTTTCTAATGAAGGTAAACTTTACATTCAGAGAAATGCATAGACCACACTCATGTACAATCTGATGAGTTTTGACAATTTATATGCCCATGTAACCAACATCCTAACTCAAATGTAAAACATTTCTATTACCCTAGACACTTGTCTCCTGACCTCTTCCGTGTAATCCCCACTCCCCATAGGGGACCACTGATCTAATTTCTGTCATCACAGATTAGTTTAGCCTGTTCTTCAACTCATGGAAACGAATCATACAGCTTGTACTCTTTTGTGTCTGGCTTCTTTTGCTTAAAACAATGTTTTGGAGATTCATTTATCTTGCAGGTTATAGGAGTGTGTTCCTTTTGTTTGCTGAGTAGTATTCCGTTTTATGAATATATCCAATTTATTTTAATCCATTCTTGTTGATGGACATTTGGGTTGATTCTTGTTTATGGATATTATGAATAAAATCTTCTATAAACATTCTTCTATGTTCCCATTTTTTAAAAGCCTAAACTGATAGAGTAATTTACTTATTTTACATTCAAAATAACTTTTCATAACTAAAAAAACATGCACATCTTTTATAGAGGTGGAGTTTAATTAGAACTAGACAAGTGAAGTCATATTCAATGAGTTAATCTTCACAGGTTAGAAAATAAAATCAACTTTTTCCTGACAAAATTTGTAAGCTTAGGTAATACACACATTTTTCTACCGCATTATTTTAACAGATATTGTTTTCCAATAACAAACAGCCATAGACTCAACTTTATGTTTCTTTATCAAATATTTCAATATAAAAAAGACTGGCTGACAGACCTTCATAGAAACTCAACTTCATGATGACATGTTACAGAATAAACAAAGGTTTAATTTAAATTTTTGGAGCTTTATGTGAATATTTGCTGATCTTCTTTTGTGTATTTCTTTCGATACAAAGCTAATGGTTAATTCAGCTTTTGCATTCTTAAAAGCAATTAGGTGGAATGTTTTATATTAAAATCTCTATAAAAAAACCTCCTATTAGTCATTTGTTGACACTTGTGGCAGTATGGTTTCAACTCTAATTCTAGTCAAGGCTGAATCAACATTTTTTGTGACTAACACTGGTGTAGAGCATGTTGTATTTTACAAAGAGCTCTTACGGCATTTAAAAAACCTTTCATTATGGAAAAAATTTCAAACATACACAAATGTGATCAGAGCAGTGCAATGAACTCCCCTGTATGCAACGCTCAGTTTTTAAAAAAATTTATTTTTTTATTGTTGTGGTTTAGATGAAGTTTACATTTCAAGTTAGCCTCCCATACAAAAATGTATACATACTCAGTTATGTGACCCTAATTGCTCTCCCCATACTGTGATAGCACACTCCTCCTTTCCACCCTTGATTCCCCATGTCTATTCAACCTACTCCTAACCCTCTCTGCCTTCCCATCTCACCTCCGGACAGAAGCTGCCCGTTTAGTCTCTTGTATCTACTTGAGGTAAGAGGCACACTCCTCACGAGTATCCCTTTATGTCCCACAGTCCAGACCAATCCCTGCCTGAAGAGTCGGCCTTGGAAATTGTTTAGCT